AGAAATGATGGATCTAGTTTCCGAAATGGAGATGATGAAGATGATCGGCAAACATGTGAATATAATCAATCTACTAGGAGCCTGTACACAAGGGGGACCATTGTACGTAGTTGTAGAGTTCGCTCCACATGGTAACCTCCGCGATTTCCTACGAGACCATAGACCTTCTTCTGGATACGAACCAACCATTGGCCAAGAACCAAAAGAGAAGAAGACTCTCACTCAAAAGGATCTAGTATCGTTTGCCTATCAAGTAGCTAGAGGGATGGAATATTTAGCGAGTAGAAGATGTATCCACAGGGATCTGGCTGCTAGGAATGTATTAGTCAGCGACGAATACGTATTGAAGATCGCTGACTTTGGTCTGGCTAGAGATATACACTGTCACGATTACTACAGGAAAACTACGGACGGTAGACTTCCGGTCAAGTGGATGGCACCTGAAGCCCTATTCCATCGAGTTTATACCACTCAGTCCGACGTGTGAGTACTCGATATTATTTAATTAGTAGGGAATTTGTGCGAAGTGTATTGAAATTATTTGAAAGAATTTAAATACAAGGAACTAGAATAGTATTTATATTATCATTCGAGCACACAAGTGTTCGACATTGTTTAATTATTAAGATACGTTCAAAAAAATATTGAAATACCTAATTTATCATCTTCAAACTATAGAGTTACAATTATTCACATTTGACTGTCTGATATTATTTAATCATTAGGAAATTTCTACAATTGTTTACATTTATCTAAAGTAAAGTGTAATCAAAGTTATTTATTGTTAATGTTACAGATGGTCGTACGGGATTCTGTTGTGGGAGATCATGACACTGGGTGGTACCCCGTATCCATCCGTACCATCTGTAGAAAAACTGTTCCAGTTACTAAGAACTGGCCATCGAATGGAGAAACCACCATGTTGTTCCATCGAAATGTAAGCACAACTTTTCAGAACTACACTACACATACTACACTGTTACATCAATACTAATATGTACTGTCAACAAAATACTGCCTGTTACAACAAAAAAAATTATCAACTATTATTAACTATAATTATTAACTATTAACTATATACAGATACATGTTGATGAGGGATTGCTGGAGCTACCAACCTAACGAACGACCAATGTTTGGCGAACTGGTCGAGGATCTCGATAGGATATTAACGATAACTGCAAACGAGGTAATGTTAAATATTCAAATTTTTATTCTCGAATTTATGAAGCTCAATATTTGACTTAAAACTCTCAGAAGATATGCTTTATTCCACGTATCTTTATACGTAATTAATTTTATCGCAATGCAATTTTTAAACGTGCTAATACTTTCTCTAGATATTTCTTACAATTTACTGCTTTACTTTAAAAATCAAGAATTTTGCATCAAAAGATACTTATCATAAATAAATATTAAATATTAAACATTGAATATTAAACAACGTTCCAAAGAATCGATGATTATTTCATTCTTCCTCTCACCAACTAAACTTTTTTTGCAATATTTTCCTTTGGAAATCCTTACCAAAGAATATTTATCATAAATAGATATTCTTTTTCAGTTTTTGGAAACCGAAAAGAAAAAGAAATACATTGACATATCGTTTCAGGAATACTTGGACCTTGGCCTGCCGCAACTAGACACACCGCCGTCCAGTCAAGAATCCAGCGAGGCTGACGATGACGAGGGTGAAGAAAAATTCCCCTATCTACTGTGAATAATCCCGACGAACGATTGGTATTCGCCGAAAAATTTGTAAAATTCTCTTAAAGCTGAAGAGGGAAGAAAACGAAGATCTAGAAAGAACGACAAACGAAACACGAGAAAGAAGAAGCGGAAATAAAATGAAGAACAAAACGAACGAAAATCACGAGTAAGGAAAGACTATCTTGCAGCCGAAGAACGCTGTAAGAACGGAAATCAATCGACTGATCTAACGAACACGCCAAATAATATAAATCAGTATTGAATTGTTTAGCGCGTATTCCGTAGAATTAAGAAAGAAGAAGAAAAAGAAGAAGGAAGAAAATATCGATCGAGGAAGAATACTCCGGCCTTCGAGAAGAGACTGATTTTCTTACGAAAAATATTGTATTTATTTTCCTCTTATCTTCGTGTCCTGGGAAATCGATTACTATTATGGAACACACGCGTTTGTTCCACGTTTCGTGATTGTAACACACTCGTATTTCGAAAACTTTGCTGCACACCTGAACCAGATTTGCAGCCAAAAGAATAAATACAATAAAAAAAAATTAAATTTACTACAAAATGTTCACGTTCAATTTTGTACATCTTATACTACCGTGCCATTGATAAGTGCCTTGGACAAAAGAAACGATAGAGAAGAGACCTAGAGATGAAGAAAAGTTCCACCAGGGCTTCTTGTATTCGTTAATATGAAGAGAAGAGAAGAAACACGTGTGTATATATATACATGGTGCACATCAGGTTTGCACGGAAGATTCCTAATTCACAGAGGATCATCTGGAAAAGTGTTTATAACTAGTCAATTAATAAACTTGTACGTTTCTCTGTAACATAGCTCAGTTATTAAAGTATAATGATACATATGTACATGTATTACGCCAGCGTTTCTACGTGAATTGTGGACGTTAGTGAATAACAAGCGTGGATCTAATTTTTGTAAAAATATTGTAGATCGTAAGTGAATACAGTTTTTTAATAAAACAACGAATTTTTGATGTTAAACATTCACAAACAGAAGCGTCGTCGTCGAGAAGAGATGAATACGAAAGAGTCGTACTATTCAATGATTATATATTGTTAATACGACGAAAGATAACTTTACATTAGATAAATAGACTGCAGATTTTTATACAATTTTTGTGAATATAATCAAAGAAATGTAGCCTGAGGAGAAAATTATGTCCTATGCTAAACACTGTAACAAGTATTTCTATTTTCATTGTGTTATATATTTCATGTTGTACTTGTTGCATTTTCTGCATTTTTGCAAGCTGAAATCTCCCAATAAGTGTATAAAAATTCGCAGTCTAATGACAAATATAAAAAAGAAAGAGATGGAAAAAAAATTCGTTGCATCGTCTACGTGGATGTAAAATGCATAAGATGTATAAATGGTGCATGCGAGAGGTGCTTAGTAGTAGATAATTTATTTCTCTGTATATTGTTACTTAGGATTGTATTCTAGTATGTCGTTAACACATTTTCTCTTTGTATAATTGCAGAACAAATGAGGCGAGATACGTGTAAAATATATAAAAAGGATTTATCAGTTGATCAACGAAAACAATATGTAAAAACGATAAAAGATTTTCTGTACATAGCACCAGTTTGTTTATTTAAAAGTTTTCTCGACTTTCTTTTTCGTTCTTGTTTCGTTACCCAGCACCTAAAGGTAGCCAGTAAATCAGCATTTACCAAGGTAGATGTAGATTATGTATGTATAGTCTGCGTAAGTATTGGATTATTATTGTAACGTGAGTTTCGTCTCGAATAAACTACTGGAAACTGTACTCACATCATTCGATCCCTACGTTTATTATTTCCAGATGTTTTCGCATGATTTGTGCAATTTTCATGGATCTTATTTGTTAAACGTATGAACTTAAAATTCTGAGGATGGAGAAATATCAAATGAATTTTCAGAACATAAAAATTATTATTTTAAATCGAGGCTATTGAATTTGAAAATGCTGAATTATTTTTATATTGTTTTTGAAAAAAATTACAAGAATTATTTTGTTCTAATTAGTGAGCTAAAAATCATAATGCTGTAAGTCACCCTAATGCTATTTTTCTTATTGTTATCACGTAATAATTATGAAATTATTAATAACTAAAAGCGTTAATAAATAATAAATAAAAGCATTAATAATTACTATACAAAATTGCTTATTATTTAATTAACCATCAGTGACACTTTTAAAAACTTAAACGTGTTCCTCAAATTTTGACTTACAATTACATAATTCTCACTCCATGAAAAATTATCACGGTTCAAAGTTTGAGTATTATATAAATTACAGCATGCTGTATAAATTATAGAAGCGTTAAAACAAAATGTTATTTTCGAAATCATTTCGAAAAATTTCGAAATTATTTCTATTAATGAAATTAACTAATCGGATTTCCGCTCAACTTTCGTTTACAATTCCCTGGTATAATTCGTCAAGCTCTTGGTTAAGTAGGTTAAAATCGATCGAGTTACAGGCATGTAAAATAGATGTGTACGCGTCTACACAGTTAAACGAATAAACAAATTAGTTTATGATTGATCGCGAACATATCGAGGACATTGGGAGACCAGAACCCTCTCCCCACCATGAAACAGAACCGCGTGTCCAGAGAAAAGTTAACCATGAGATAAGTGATGGCGCTGAGATCGGTTCGTTTTGTTGTCATCAGCCACATTTACACTAAGTTGTTTTCACCAGATTTTTAGTCGAAATATTTAATTTTGTATCCCTAGATTTAGCTTCGATTCAACGACGAAAGATGTCAAGGATGGTACGAACAATACGAACAGAACTTCCGAACGAATAACAGAAGTAGAAGTTGCCATTGTGTGCTAACACTCAACATTCAGGTTAGAATCCAATAACCCACTTTTATAACCCTGTAGAGTATGAAATTTGTATTCTCTTGCAGATCGTTGCGTACTAACCTTCGTTTTATTTTCTAACATATTCTAAACGAGTTACGTCATGTGTTTGTGCAACGAATTTTATGGAATTTACGTGTTACTAAATTTTGATCATTTTTATATTATCTTGTGAATACCATTGTACATACGTGTATTTGACATATAATAATATCGTGAATTATTATGTGTGATTTTAGTCTTGTAAAGTAGTTTGAAACCATTTGACGGCATTGCAATCTGATGGCACTTGTATGGTGTCGCAGGTAGTAATATTTATTAAATGGTGATTACCAGTGCCATGGAGAGGAGAATCAAGTTAAAAGCACTGAACAGCCACATAACGTGCAAGATATGCAAGGGTTATTTGATAGACGCCACTACTGTTACGGAGTGTTTACACACATTTTGCAAGAGTTGTCTAGTCAAACATTTAGAAGAGAAGCACACCTGTCCAACATGCCAAATCGTCATACATCAATCGCATCCCCTCCAATACATAAGCTTTGACAGAACTATGCAAGATATTGTCTATAAATTAGTTCCTGATCTTCAAGAAAGTTAGTATCTTTTCTTTAATAAGTACTAATCTATCTTCTCTTTAATAAATTACTAATAAAACTGATCGAATAACTAGAAAAAATTGTCTACAACTGACTGCATAATTGTGATTTGATATATATGCGATATATATTTGATATATAATTGTGATTTGATGTAACTTTTAGATGAAATTAAAAGGGAAAGGGAATTTTATAGAGCAAGAGGTTTACCTTGTCCGAAAGATGTCTTACCTAATGCTGGGGATATTGAAGAAGAAAAGGCAACAGCCGATGCACATGCGGAATCAGACTATCACCGTACTGATGAACAGGTAAAGAGAACTAGAAATCATTTGTTCAGTGTTTGAATAACTTCTCACGATTCTAATAAGTAGATATTTTCACAGGTTAATGTATGTCTGGAATGCATAAACACGAGTTTAAAGACCTTGAAACGAAGATTTATTAGATGCTCTGCCCAAGCAACTATTACACATTTGAAAAAGTTTATTGCGAAGAAAGTGTTAAACGGAATGGAGAAATATCGGGATGTGAGTAAATATTAGAAGAAATTTACATTACTTTAGATTAGGTTATTAAAAATTACTAATTATTAATTAACAATACTCTCTGCAGATTGATATTTTGTGCAATGATGAACTATTAGGTAAGGACCATACGTTGAAATTTGTTTATGTAACAAGATGGAGGTTCCGGGACCCACCTTTAAGGCTACAATATAGACCACGAATAGATATTTAAGATTAATATCTCTATGTTCGATATGCGATGGAAATCTTACAAAATCTTGTACCTACTTTATACGTTTGCTAGTTCTATCTGTATTGCCTGTCATAGTACTTATTTCTGTGTTTTTCGACACGGCAAAGAAATTCAATTTTAAAGATAGTTTGTGAGGAAGCAAAGTTTGTTTCAGACCGCATCTTTTTATACATATAGAAAGAATTGCTTTAGTCAGATTTCCGATAGCATTCAGCACAACATATTTTAACGATAGTAACATTATCGTTGGGCACATTCGATTATCATTTTATCTCTTTCTAGTTAAAGTTTAGGATCGTTTGTGTATTTGTTTTCAACTGAGTTACATTAACTCGCCTATTTTTTTTTTCACATTTGTTATGATTTACTACTCTAGACTTGTGTAACGCGTAAATATAAGTAGACCAAGAAACCATAGCGACACTGTAACAACGAGAAGACAGTTTTTTCGTTCGCTAACAGTATCGCTGAACGTAATTCTAAATATTTAATTTTACATTACCGTGACGCGCCTTGTGTGTTCTCGTATCGATCCCCCTACAAATAATGTCTTTTAGTTCGGTGATACGAAAATAGCAATCAGTGCCCGCCACTGATAAGAATTTGTTGCTTTTTCGCGCACAGCAACGGGACAAAAAGATCGCCCTTGTCATAATCATAAGACGTGAATTTCTTTTTATACATACCCTGATTGTATATAGAATATTTTTGACAGAATTCCGATAATATTGCGTAAAGACGCAGCTTTGTATTAGGAAAAAAGGAAAAAAGAAAATGGGGAAAAAAAGAAGCTGGGTCCGGACAATGGGAGATCTGGACCCCTTTAACTTTGTATGTTTATGCGCTGTACACATTCTAATTCGAGCCCCGGTTTTCGCTCAATGCCGGGGTACAAATGAATTTTATCAGATGTGACATATTTTCTCGAGGAATTTGACATGGACAACGATGCGTTGAGCGAAACGACCGGGGTCACTTGTCGCTTAGTAGTTAAATAAACTTGTTTTCGACAAACATTGTAAAGCGAAAAATGAAAAGGTCGTGTGATTGTATATAAATACCCTTAAAAAAAAGGGGGACGGAAAGGAATAAGTGAAGTGAAATCGACTTTACGAAGTAGCAGCATTTTATGAATGCTAGAGCTTGTATGTTGTACACTATGTGTGTATCTCCATAAATTATTGAATAAATATGTTTTGTACAGTATCAACTAGATTGATTAATGAGAATTTAATATCATTAAATATCATTGAAAGGTGTAGAAAACTTATAGACTGCAGATATTCAAGCAAATTTATATTTATTTATGCATATTTTATATATTTTTCTCTGTTATCTATGTATTTTGTAGATATTTGCATAACGTGTGTATAAATTTATAAACACCTTTCAATACCTTTGTAGACTAATGAATCTGACGTAACAAATTTTTTTAATTGAATTGCACATAAAATGGCGGCCAATGATCTGACGCTGCATCATGAAACTGATGCCACGACAGCTTGTCAACAGATTATATAATTCACCGGAATAATATAAAGTGATTTTGTTTTATAATTATTTAAGAAGTTTATATATACATATATCTTGCAAAATATTTTTGAAAGAACAAGAAAATTTGAATGACACACTTACCCAATAACAACGATTTACATGCAATCTTTGATTTTCCAATTAATCGCACATTTTATGTTTCCCAGCCAAAAAATTCATCACAAACACTTGTAATTCGATGTTACGAAACGATCTCAATGAATTTTAATGAATTGGAATGGAAAAACTTACATTAATTTCCCAAATGAAACGCGCGAGAAGAAACGCGGAGAAAATTTTGCACGGAACTGCGCGGTTTAAAATGGTGCGCATGCGCAGTAGTCGCGTAAATCATTCTCAAATTTTTCCATTTGGCGACTTTTTATCCGAGCAATTATTTTCGCGACCTTAGGAATAGAGGTATAAACTAAGAATACGAATTAAAACATTTGCTAATAATAAATTATAAAGAAAATTTATTTGAAAATAATTCTCTAGTGCCAAAGTGGTTTTAAATTAATTTCCAGTCGCATGCGCAGTAGTCGCGTAATTGGAAACAAACGGACGCATGCGCGTCCGAGTATAGAAACATATAAACTAGAAATACGAATTAAAATATTTGCTGATAATCATAAAAAAATTTATTCTTTGATGCCAAACTTAATTTTAATTTTAATTTTTAAAAATTTAATTATTTTAAAAAATTAAATAGATTTTAAATTTAATCATTTTCAGTCGTGTAAAGGGAAGCAAACTGACGCATGCGCAGTAATCGCGTAGAGGGAAGCAAAAGAACGCATGCGCAGTAGCGCATAGAAGGAAACAAACGGACGTATGCGTGAGGCGTTCCGAAGTTCACAGTTTATGGTCAATGCGCGTTGAGTAGGGACTGTTGCTGCTATTCGGCAGCACGGTAAACGTGATTTCATTTGGCTGATTTTCAATGAATTCAATTCCAAGTGTTAGTAATTCCCTCGTACGCATAATCTGCACACAGTTCCGCGGATAAATGAGCTTGCAAGACAGCCTATTCGCCGAAGACGTGGAGCACGACGTCACTCTGTTTTCAAGGGACAAGAAACAGAAAAGGTAGGAGACCCAAACGATCACATTTCCTGGTGCAACGACGCGCCTTTAAAGGTTAGATCTACTACAGTTTCTAACTAACGTGTCTTCCAGCGTTTTTCGTCACTTTCAATTTCTACGAATGTTTATATGTCGCGTCATGAAGCTTTCGCCGAAAAATCATCAGTCTTAAACTTTTCAAGCATGTATCTCGGCAACGTGAACGTAGTTAAACTGTTTGTCAATCACATAAAAGAAATGAAATAATGTACGTGCCATCGATTTGGTAACTTGATAGCAATTTTTGTTAGCGATTTGTTAGTCGAATATTACGTAGCAAAGACGCATTGCATTAAATTTATTTGTATCCTTGACATACAATTGAAATTCGAAGGTAATCGGAGTTAATCTTAGAATCGGAAAGATTGAAGATACCGTAGAACCACTGAAAAGTGTCCAACGTGTTATTGATATCTTTTATGGCCTCCGTACGGAATATTTATACATATTTAAAGGTAAGTGATTGATATCATTTGTCTTCCAAGCAACTGCTTTTCAATCACTACTACTGTGAATTAAATGATCATTCCGTGTACATTGACGCTCTGTATCGTTATTAATCGAAGAATTTAAGTAATACAAATATTGAAAAAATTATCTTTTTAATAAAAAAAATTTTATATTCGAATATTATAAATCCTGGAATAATTTATTTGAGTTTACATTTAAGACCATCATAAATATAACTTTGAATATTTCTTGTTCTATATTTGAAATTCTTTGTTTAGCACTCGCATCATTTACCATTTCAACTCTTCAGTTATCGAGTATATAAACCTAAAATTCTTAAATAAGTTACAAATAAGTTACAAATATATGTTAATTATTCGATTGGTATAATTACGTAATATAAAAAATTAAATGGGATCGCAGTCAATTGTCTTATAACTGCGTGCATTTGGTCCGCTTTTTATTTCTCACTAGACATTTATATTTTTAGCAAACTGCACATTGTTTTAAGAAACACACAAAAAAAAATGTGAATCATTGGCAGAATGCCCAAAGAAAATCAGAATGCGTTTTGTGTCAATCTCTTTTTTTCTTTCTTTTCTTTTTCTTTTTTCTTTCCTTTCCTCTTCTTTTCTTTTCTGCTTTTAATTAACATTTCACTGTTTCTTGCATTTCAGTTACAATATTTTGATAAAAAGCTAATGGGTTTATAGGTTGTGAATATTGGTTAACTAGCCCTTCATAGATGGCGGAACTTGCACATACGTCGTTAAATAAAAGAAAATTTATACAAAACATAGTTTAATGGAATGCATTATTTCCATCAACGAAAATAACGAAGAGGATAACGAGAATAATAATATAGAATGTAATAACGAGAGGATAAGAGAATATCATATAATGAAAATAATGGATACAACTGCAAACATATAATATTTCATAAATATCTCGTTGACATTGTTTCCAAAGCTAAAATAAAGCTAAAATAAATCCAAATCAAGATATTTAATAATAAAATTTACAAAGTTCGTACTCGTAAACATTCTCTGGTATGATGATTTTACTTTGTTAAAAAAAATTTTGAAAGCCATGATTGTTCGCCATATTGAATGATTGCAGGATTTGAATCATAAACAAAAGAATGTAAATTTCATGTTTTGTATGGTAATTAACACTATAATAATTTTCTTCGGTAAAATAGAAAAATCATAATTTTTAAAAAATTAAAGTACCAATAGTACTATATATCTTTTACTACTATTATTGTTTTCCTAAATGCATAAAGATAATAGTAAACGGAAGTTCAATAGTGACGATACAAGTGTCAAAATTACCATACGCGTGTCTATCCAGAAAATCCTCACCTTTGACACTTACATCATTTATCACTTGGTCTCGTCGATTATTGAAGTCACGCGCCGGGAGAACAGCTGACCGATTTTGGATGCCCTCTGCACGGATAATTGTTAATCCACGGAATGCAACCGGTTGCTCAGCGTTATGTCGCTCACGTATACGCGTGATTACGTGAACCACGCAACACTTACGAGTCACACGCGACTCTGTTTCTCCTTTATAGTTCAAGGCTCGTCGATTTAGTCGTTCTCTGAAACGTAATTAAACGGATTTTACTCTTGAAACAACGATTTCAACAACCGGATCGGATGAAACGGTTGTTTTGCTCGGCCTGTTGGAGTCGATTTCTTTTTCTTTTCGGCTTTCATATCTGGCTATAAAGGAAAGAGAAGCACCGCGATTACCACGCTACACGGTTCGTTCCACTCGGACGGATGGCATATAATTTAATAATTATCGTGGAGCGACGTTAAGGTGAAAATTTTATCTTATTTTCCTCCACTCCATCTTATTAGCATCCACTCTGAATTCAATTGTTTTATTTAGCTCTACCGAGATCACCCTCCTAGATCGCAAGAGTGCATTTCCTGTTTCCTACGTTTCTGGATTACGTACACGCCTGTTTCAATGCTGCCACTGCTTTCTAAAAACACCTGATTACGACGTTACACATAATAAATTTTCTTTTATCCGACTGACTTTTTACCGGTCGAACGTAATAGCCAGTCTCCATGGAAATTGATTATGTGAAATGTTGACAAAGTCGTAACGCTGGTGCGACAGTCGAGTGAAAAAGTTGGTCAAAAGTCGGTTTTAAAAATTTTACTTTGCTTGCACAATTCTGATTCTCACAAATAATATATAAGAAATAAATGATCAAGGGTCATTTTATTTGTATGACCTTGAAATACTTTGAAACTTAGCAGTTGAGTCATATACATAACTGCTTTATGAAAAGCTACAAATTTTAAGGAAATAGTACTAAATCAAACAGTATTCGGAAGAAGACTTTGGATATTTTAAACATAGGTAATAAATAGGTAAATTGTGCAAGCCGTAGGGGACGCGTCCCTGAACAGTACCGTTAAGCCCAGGTAATTGGGAATTACTAGGTAATTGCGAAAATTATTTTATGGAACTGACCTTTGCCCAACGACATCATTTTTTTGCGTCCATCGTTACCATCTTCGCCACGTACTTCCAAACAAACTACAGGTGCACATTTTTTAATTAAAAAATCAACATTAATTAAGCTACTCAGCGACCAAACTAACCCAGTTTCCATTTTTTTTTTAAACATCCATTTTCTTATATAGAAAGTCTTAATATCACAGTACATAGATCTAATCAATTTGATTTTTGTATAATTCGAACAAAAATCTCTTTAGAATAATATCTTCTTACCAAAATGCCCTGCGATGCATAAAAAAATAATTTTGCACGAGTTTCTGGTGCAAGTGTGTCTCATTACACACCTGTGGAATGCGAAATGACGTGCGATTATTCAGACTCAAGGATGACTCTGATTTTAAGGAAACCAACGAGGGAGAAAGTGAAACGTTATGTAAAAGTTAGCCGGCGTGTGTTCATCTGACAGGATACGAACAAAGTGGCCTGGGGCAAGGCGGTTACGTTCACCCGTTGGCCATACTCAGTCCAGTCTCACTTTCAGCCACGATCGTAACACGTTCTTTTCACTTTTACAGGGTACTCGTCTTTCCACCTGTAAACAACTATCGGAGATACATCATACACCAGTTGGTGCAGGATCGTTTTGCCGATCTGCACACATTCTCGATTGGCCAAAGTTCTGCTAGACGGACTGTCGTGTGTTACAAGAGTGACGTGATAAGGTATCGAAGTGACCTATTGTTATTGTGCCGTTTTAACTGTTCTATGGTGATACTGCTTCATTAAATGGCTATTGCTATCTCCGCCAATCCTTGGAACTTGGCTTCATGAAGAGAGCCTTTGATGTATACAGTCTGTCATAAAAATCCTCATTCAAGTCTTCCTTCAAAGAAATGTCAAAGATGTTAGCATCTGATTTTTAGCATTTAATGTGACAAATTCAGATTCAAGTTTCGATTCATATTCAATTTTATACCTATACTCAGATCCAAATTCACATTCTAATTTAAATTCAAATTCACATCCAAGTTCAGAAGCAAATTCATATTCAAATTTAGTTCCAAATTTAGATTCAATTTCACAATCAAATTTCAGATTCAAATACAGATTCCAATTCACATGCAAGTTATACAGATTTCAACTCACATACAAATTATATAATTGAAGTTAAGCATACATACATTTAAATAAACATCACAATTTCTTACATTTTTTAGATTAATACTGAACTACAAGGGAATTATTAAAAAAGATAGATTTGATATTATATTAATATCTTATAGGTTCTCTACAGATATTAATAAAAGAATTTGCAATTTTTTTCTTTTGACAGTAATAAAATTACCACATAGTCGCTAAAAGCTTTTTATCATTTGTATAGACTTTTGTAACTGACTCCATATAAAATAAACAAGTATATATATTTCCTAATAAGTCACTAAATACAGTCCTGTAGTTAGTTAGCAAAGCATTATTATTTCTTTTTACCGATATATACAAACAATATATATAAACAAACCGCAAAGTCTAGGATTTCATTGTTTTTAGACTGCGCTCCTCCCCCCCCCCCTTGATAATCTATTG